CCCGGGTGTGTACGCCTTTTTTACAATGATTAATAGGAGTGTGGTATATATGGAACGCTTTTCTCCTCCAATCTCAAGGCCAGCCCCGAGTGGCTGAGGTGGTTTTTAAGAAAAGAAGTCGTGGTGACTGACACCATAGGTTCGGGGTTCGTATCCCGAGCCGCCCAAAGTGTCAGGTGGTCCAAGCATTGGCTGGGACCAGCCTGGTTCTCCCCTTAACCCCACAATCTACCACTGACCCCAATTGTGTCTCAAGGCAGCGTACAGTTCGGCATAGCACTGCGGTCCGTAACGTCTGTTGAGAGATGAAGGGCCTGGCCGTTTTTTTTTCACCTTTTTTTTTGCACTAAACATCCACGGTAATGCGAAATTATAGAGAGATAAAGGTGGCAATTTTCAACCTTCTCTATTTTTACCCGCAAACATAATGGGCTGGCCATTTTTGAAATAATCCTGAAATGGGGATAACCTGCTGTGCCCTTTTGAGGCATGGTCAAGACCATATTGTGGTGGTGCCCCACATTTCTATAGAGTTTTGCCGACGGTTTTGCACTTTAGTGCTTGCTATATGTCCAAAACCTTAGGCCACCCCATTATCCAGAGAAATTACCAGTGACAGAAGACTGAGGAGAGTGTGAGTGTGCCTCCTCAGTTCATTGTAGGCAGTACAGCACAGGTCCACGAACTGCTGGAAACGAGAAGTCGGTCTGTCTCCATCATTTATGACGTAGGCCATGTCTCGAGTCAAGACAAATGGTACCCGGTCCCTGGGTATGGGGGTATGGGGGAATAAGGGAATTTGATGTGTATATCCGTGTACAAAAGTCTCCAGCATTATTAACCCTCGGTGGTGCGCATGCGCAGCGAGGGTTACAATACTTGTTCTGTCCGTCTGTCCGTCCGTCCACGTTTTCTGCCACCACGCGCGACAAACAGGTAAAATAGCGACACCAACGGGTTCAGCGCTACACCCGCTTCATTTTTAAAATGCCGATTTTTGTAAAAGTGCCGCGTTCAGAAGTTATGGCATGAAAACCAAGTGAACAAGCCAATATGCAAATTAGCACAGGCTTACCTCGACCGGGTCCGCTTGCTCTGTGTACCTTGGAGGCACAAGAAGTCACAACGAAGGGCGTTTATCGACTCCCGCATGCTATCTACTACTTTAGCTAGCCCGTGTCAGACTCTCCGCGAGCACAAGTAAACGCATACTACTAATAGCCCAGCCCATCAATTAGCAGTATCGCCGAGGGTTTGCACTTCAGGTGATTTTATTTACGCTGTTCCCATTCAAGTAATGGTGGTGGTCTGATGGATAAGCATAGCACTGCGTCCGTAGACGTCTGTCTGGAGAGATGAAGGGCTGGGCGTTTAAAAAATTTTTTTTTTCAACCTTAGTTTTTTTTTGCACTAAACAATCCACATGTAATACGAAAATTAATAGAGAGATGAAAGGTTGGCAATTTTTCAACCTTATATATTTTTTACCCTCAAACAAAATTTTTGGAAAATAATCCATGGAAATGGTGCATAACATGCTGTTCTTTTTGATGCATGGTCAAGACCATCAATTGTGGTGGTGCCACACTTGTGTATGGGTTCCACATTTCTATAGAGTGTGCCGAGGGTTTGCACTTTAGTGCTTTTCATTGTAATAGGAACCTAAGACATTCCCAAGAACAGTTCTTGCATGCAATTCAACCCCAGAAATAAGGACACCCTCACACTTTCTTCTGTCCCATTGGTGTCTGGATTAGAGCTCCTAACGCAACTAAAAGCTATGCAGACATGCATTCACTGCAACAGTTGTCGAATGCTGCACTGAGGTAAAGTCTGAGTGAATGTAAGAATGGGAATCTGACCTCTTGATGGACCCAAACATCTAGTGAATGTAAGAATGGGAATCAGACCTCTTGATGGACCCAAACATCTAGTGAATGTAAGAATGGGAATCTGACCTCTTGATGGACCCAAACATCTGAGCATTCCCCAGAATCTTGCCAAAGTCGATGTGGAACATGTGGCCCGATCTCTTCACCATGATGTTGTCGTTATGGCGATCGCAGATTCCGAGGACGTAGGTAGCGACACAGTATCCCGCACAAGAGCAGGTAAAGTTGTCGATTGCCTGTTGTGTGGTGAGAGAGAATGACAAGGAGGGAGTTTGTGTGGTGAGAGAGAATGAGAAGGAGGGAGGTTGTGTGGTGAGAGAGAATGAGAAGGAGGGAGGTTGTGTGGTGAGAGAGAATGAGAAGGAGGGAGTTTCAGTTCAAATAACGACAACATCATCTTCTACCAGATATAAGTGCAGGCATACAAAGACTATTGTGCATGGTGCAGATCAAATATATACACAAAAATGACGCAATACAGAAGACATGTAGCTACAGCTAAAGCAGATGGATTAAAACGGCTGATAAAATGTTCGAGGCTACAAAACTGACACGTTTGTTTAAAACTTACGTACCTTTCTGTAATCTGTTTCTGAGGTGTTGTATCTCATCAGCCAGTTGCTGAGTGGCTTGTCTTTGAACGAGCCAGTGACGCCACGTTCAGTCTGTATGGCTCGCAGAGTGGAGGAGTCAGTCACCACTTCCAGCATCCCTGGAGATGAGAGATGAAGAGACTGGAGACTGGCTATGATTCAGAGTCGTTGTCCTCACATGAAATGGGGGGCTTTCTATTTTAACCCTTTCCCTCCAGTCTCACCGTGATCCTGCCCAGTGGCGACACAGTCGTAGGTCACCATCTTCAGATCAAGCCCAGCACGCAGCCATATCTTCTCCATCAGTTTTATCATCTGAAGAACCAGGATGTCCTGTCGAAGGTCGTCACCCACCTGCATTACATCATCATTACATCATTGTAATCATATACAGTAGAACTTCTGAAAAAAGGACACCTCCGAATAAACATGATGTCTTATTGTGCAATAAGAGATGATGTCATTTACCTTGAAAATGATGTCGATGTTGTCTCCGAAGGGGTCGGAGTTCAGGAACGAGATTTTCAGAGGGACGGTATTGGAATTGAAGAATGAACTGGACTGAATGAGCACACCAATAATTAGAGCAAAACAGCTCACACCCAAAAGCACATTGTACCTCAACATCTACTCCTCTAACGAGGAGGGAGGGAGAAAGAGGAAGCCGGAAGTCACCAACCATCCTCTCCTTCACTCTCTGGAGCTCGTGGACCAACATCGTCTGCCGGTGGGCGTCCCTCGTTGCCTTGACAACTGCTGCCACGGCAACCAGCTGCTCCACCAGCTCCTCCTGAGTGGTGAACTCGGCACGTATTCTCTCACCGAGGAGGACGTCCAGTGCTTGGGTCATGTTCCTATAGCGAACTCCGTACCTCTCCCCCGATGCCGTTGCTAGGATACGCAGTTGCCTGTGGAGACAACAACACCATACATCCTTTCAAGAGGTAAAGAGCTACTATTGCATGGATGGGAGGAAAAATTATTGCATGTAATGTATATACAATGCAAAATCTGCTCATCAAGAATTCCTAGCACTATTTTGCCCCATCTCGCCATCTCTTGTTGTCTTCAAGGTGTCAGAGGCCTCAAAGATTTACGTACACACAGAGGTCAGAGGTCAGAGGTCTCATATACACACATAGCCATATAGTTAGTTAGGACAGACATATTATTGTGCCACAGTTGTTTCCCACAAACCAGTAGAGGCTGTGAGCAACTCGGGGAGAAAGAACGGCTCGTCTCAGAAGAAGCTCAGCCATCGCGCCCCTCTCGTAGTTGTCATGGCGAAGACTCTGCACTAGCTGAGGGAGGAAGTCACAGAGGTCGTCGTCATGGAGACCAGACAACCAGCTAACAGCCGTCTTCCGAACTATTCCATCGGCTAACCTGGGAGGAAGAAAAATGAAGGAATTCTGTAATTGAGCTCAAGAATGTTTCCACTTACTGTGGATCCAGTAGCTCGAGACCATGAACAGGATCGTGACAAGGCCACACCCCCAGGACCGCCCACACGTCGTCACGGTGAGGGGGACGCCAGTGAGGGGTGGAGAGGAGGAGAAGGGGAAGCCCCCGAGGTGACGAACTCAGGTGATCACGTAGCAGAAACCGGTTTGACCAGATCAGCTTCTCATCCTCCATCGAGAGACTGGGGAGAGAGAAGTAGCTTAATTTTCCAAACAACACTCAACCAGTTTCTCATACCTGCTAAACCTGTCTCTATCTGCCATTTTCTTGAGTCCTCGGTACAACAGACTGGGCGTGGCTCCCGGTTTCTTGGCGGAGGAGGGGGCGTGGCTTGTAATAGGCGGGGCTTCCTCATATTTAACCCTTTCCCCACTATCCTCAAACAATAACTCCAAGAGAACTGCGTCTCGGGAGGTGTTGGGGTACGGGGAATCGAGGGGGTCCATGACTTCATCTCCCCCCCACATTCCCAGGAGTCGGGGGCCAAATATCAGGACCCCTCGACTGTCAAATAGTTTCTGAATCACCCAGGCAATGGGGGTGCGGTTCCATCCCCGGTCGTTGGTGCTGGACGTGGTCTCCAGTCCATGCAGAGTGAGACAGAGACGACACTCACGAGGAAGGTGAGAGAGAGGTACTCCAAAATTCAGCCTGTGAATAATACGATGATGAGCACGACGTAATGATTACATCATACACACCATGAAATTGCGTACTATTATTCAGCATTGACACGAGACCAGAAGCTACAACTTATGTTTCTAGAAGAGCCCACCATTTCTTCCAGACAATGGAGCTGAAAAAGCTGTGGCTAATTTTGGCTGGAGGAGAGGAGGTTCTCTTGGAGACAGGCAGACCTCCGTGGTAGATACAGGCTTCTAACTGGAAGTGGGAATACCTGATGGAGGGGAGGGAAGGGAAGGAAATGACGAACTACAAGTGGAAATCTTCTAATCCAGACACCAATGGGACAGAAGAAAGTGTCGATATTAGTGAGGTGTCCTTATTTCAGGAGTTGAATTGCATGCAAAAACTGTTCTTTGGGAAAGAGAAGGTGTCCCTATTAGTGAGGTGTCCTCATTTTCCTCTGAGAGGGGTTCCACTTCATTACACTTCGTATACAGTTACCTTCTAAAGTCAATGATCGGCAGTTTGTGCAGAGCGCAGGCTTTAACCCTGAACACTCTGGTCTGTTTCGACAGCGGCACCACTTTCTGGTCACAAAAAGGTTAAATAAAACACCACCTAAAAATCAGACCTTGTCCATCCAAAAAAAACTAACAACTTTTACGAAATTGTAAAGTTGTCCCGAAACTAAACCATTAGATAATTTTCCCAAAAACCCTCGTCCTAATTGTAAGTTGTCCTGATAATATAGTGAAGTTGTCCTAAAGGTAGTGTCCTGACCTTGGGCTCCGCCCACCACTCTGGCAGGTAACCAGGCAACAAGGAGAGACAGTACATGGTCACCAGGTGATGGACTCCCTCTCTCACTAGCTCCAGGGCCTCCACTATCCCTCCACCGCTGTTATCAACACCCTCATCAGTGATGTCATCCTCATTCCCGATGATGTAATCATCTAGTACATCACCGGCTCTTGTCACAGAAGTTCTGTTTACCGGTGAGCGAATCTTTTCTTCCTATATATCGAGAAACGCGCGCATTACGGAGACCACCTCTCTAAGGACACCTCTCTAAGGACACCCCTGAAATGAGGACACCTTTTCTTTCACCAAGAACAGTTCTTTTCAACCACTGAAATAAGGACACCTCACTAATATGGACACTTTCTTCTGTCCCATTTGTGTCTGGATTAGACCAGTTCCACTGTAGTTGTCACGGCAGCAACAGTGCATAACCTGACTCCCAAAATTTATTTTTCCGAGTCGCGAATATCGTCGTCGCGTATTAAACAAACAGTTGTTATTTCCAAATCGATTGGTACTTAGCGCCAACAGCTGAGGACCTCTTAACTGAAAACAGCCAATGTAATCGACGGCAGCTGCTCTCTGAAGAGGAAAAGGCTAAGATATCAAGTAGCATGTGGTCCTGAGTGTTGTTAAACCTAATTCAGATTTGGTAGAGAGAGATGTTGGTTTGGTTTGAGGGTAATATGGGTGTGTGACAGATGGGTGTGTGTTCGTGAGGAGTGAGGAAATGGAATGGTACTTACTTTATCAGAATATTCATCTTCTCGCTGTTGCCCATCAATAGCCACACCCCCAATGTTGTCGTCAAGGCAACTGGTTGGTTTACACGTCTGTCGCAGGTGGTTGATTGCGTCAGAGAGTGAGGGAGGTTCCACGTACAGCAGCCTCTCACAGAGGAGACGAACACAACTGATGACAGTTTGGACCAGCGCTGGGATTGGGACGGGGGAAGGCTGCATGGGGAGAGGGAGGGAGAAATAGGGTCGTTGAAATTAGTTAGGAGCAAGATGGGAGGAAAAATTAAAAAGGTTCGTTAATATACAGTTAGAGATAGGAGAGTTCATTAATCACTAAGTACGGTAGTACTTAGTCCATAGGGATGGGCATCACACCCTTATTTAGGGGGGACAGCGACATCTTCTATCTTGCTGCACCTATCCCTATCTCGCCCAAATTTCGCTATACCCCCTTAATAAAGGTGTGAACGATTTCGCATTTGTTGTAGGCACAAGAGTGGAAAAAGAGACAAACCAACTATTCTTTATACTTTGACTAGTGTTGGAGTATGGAATGGTAACATCTTCTATCTCGCTGCACCTATCCCTATCTCGCCCAAATTTCTCTGTCCCCCCTAAATAAGGGTGTCAACGATTTTGCATTTGTTGTAGGCACAAGAGTGGAAATAGATACAAACCAACAATTCTTTATACTTTGACTAGTGTTGGAGTATGGAATGGTAACATCTTCCATCTCGCTGCACCTATCCCTATCTCGCCCAAATTTCTCTGTCCCCCCTAAATAAGGGTGTCACGAGTTTTGCATTTGTTGTAGGCACAAGAGTGGAAAAGATACAAACCAACATTCTTTATGCTAGATGTTGGCTATGTGTCACATCCTCGTCCTGCCCACGATCGTGTTTCCTGCCTCCTAAATAAGGGTGTGAACGATTTCGCAATTGTTGTGGACAAGAGTGGAAAAGAGACAAACCAACTATCCTTAATACTTTGACTAGTGTTGGAGTATGGAATGGTAACATCTTCTATCTTGCTGCACCTATCCCTATCTCGCCCAAATTTCGCTATCCCTCCTAAATAAGTATGTGAACGATTTCGCAATTGTTGTAGGCACAAGAGTGGAAATAGATACAAACCAACAATTCTTTATACTTTGACTAGTGTTGGAGTATGGAATGGTAACATCTTCAATCTCGCTGCACCTATCCCTATCTCGCCCAAATTCCGCTGTCCCTCCTAAATAAAGGTGTGAACGATTTCGCATTTGTTGTAGGCACAAGAGTGGAAATAGATACAAACCAACTATCCTTAATACTTTCACTACAGTTGGAGTATGGAATGGTAACATCTTCCATCTCGCTACACCTATCCCTATCTCGCCCAAATTTCTCTGTCCCCCCTAAATAAGGGTGTCAACGATTTTGCATTTGTTGTAGGCACAAGAGTGGAAATAGATACAAACCAACTATCCTTCATACTTTGACTACAGTTGGAGTATGGAATGGTAACATCTTCTATCTTGCTGCACCTATCCCTATCTCGCCCAAATTTCGCTGTCCCTCCTAAATAAGGGTGTGAACGATTTCGCAATTGTTGTAGGCACAAGAGTGGAAAAAGAGACAAACCAACTATTCTTTATACTTTGACTAGTGTTGGAGTATGGAATGGTAACATCATTCCATCTCGCTGCACCTATCCCTATCTCGCCCAAATTTCGCTGTCCCTCCTAAATAAGGGTGTGGAACGATTTCGGCATTTGTTGTAGGCACAGAGTGGAAATAGATACAAACCAACTATCCTTAATACTTTGACTAGTGTTGGAGTATGGAATGGTAACATCTTCCATCTCGCTGCACCTATCCCTATCTCGCCCAAATTTCGCTGTCCCTCCTAAATAAGGGTGTGAACGATTTCGCAATTGTTGTAGGCACAAGAGTGGAAATAGATACAAACCAACAATTCTTTATACTTTGACTAGTGTTGGAGTATGGAATGGTAACATCTTCAATCTCGCTGCACCTATCCCTATCTCGCCCAAATTTCGCTGTCCCTCCTAAATAAAGGTGTGAACGATTTCGCATTTGTTGTAGGCACAAGAGTGGAAATAGATACAAACCAACTATCCTTAATACTTTCACTACAGTTGGAGTATGGAATGGTAACATCTTCCATCTCGCTACACCTATCCCTATCTCGCCCAAATTTCTCTGTCCCCCCTAAATAAGGGTGTCAACGATTTTGCATTTGTTGTAGGCACAAGAGTGGAAATAGATACAAACCAACTATCCTAATACTTGACTAGTGTTGGAGTATGGATGGTAACATCTTCCGTCTCGCTGCACCTATCCCTATCGTCGCCCAAATTTCGCTGTCCCTCCTAAATAAGAGGTTGTGAACGATTTCGCATTTGTCTTGTAGGCACCAGAGTGGAATAGATACAAACCAACTATTCTTTATACTTGACTAGTGTTGGAGTATGGAATGGTAACATCTTCCATCTCGCTGCAACCTATCACTATCTCACCAATTTCGCTGTCCTCCTAATAAGGGTGTGAACGATTTCGCAATTGTTGTAGGCACAAGAGTGGAAAAAGAGACAAACCAACTATTCTTTATACTTTGACTAGTGTTGGAGTATGGAATGGTAACATCTTCCATCTCGCTGCACCTATCCCTATCTCGCCCAAATTTCGCTGTCCCTCCTAAATAAGGGTGTGAACGATTTCGCATTTGTTGTAGGCACAAGAGTGGAAATAGATACAAACCAACTATCCTTAATACTTTCACTACAGTTGGAGTATGGAATGGTAACATCTTCCATCTCGCTTACACCTATCCCTATATCGCCACAATTTCTCTGTACCCCTATAGACCAACGGGCGTTTCTCGTGGGTGGAGTGAGCACCCTCCCAGTTTGCATTTGTTGAGGCCACAAAGAGTGGAAAGAGACAAACCAACTATTCTTTTATACTTTCGACATGGTGATTGGGAGTATCGAGAATGGTATAACATCTTCAATACGCTGCACCTATCCCCTGATCTCGCCCAAATTTCGCGGTCCCTCAAAATAATGGCGATTTGCACTCTTGCTGAAATGGATTTTAGCGAATTTTGTAGCACAAGAGTGGAAACACACAGAGCCAACACCAACATTCTCTTATCACCCGAGTTTGAACTAGTGCTTGGACGTTATGTCTGTTTGTACCCACTGGTCAACATATCTCCATGACTAGTGCTGGGAGACGCTGCACCTATCTTGACATTCGTCCCCGATCTCGCCACACAATGGTTATTGTGGGTCAGTTTACTGTCCCCCTACATAAAGCGCACTCGTGTGTTGGTGGTGTCGTCCTTGCCCCCCGTGTGACCGATTTCGCATTTGTCACGTAGCACAACGAATGGTAAATGATACAAACAAACTATCACTAATACTTTGACCTACAGTTGGATGCTATTGACACTGGTAACATCTTCCATCCGCTGCACCCTTATCCCCGTTGACTCAATCGCCCAAATTATCTGTCCCTCATAAACTAAGGCGGCTTGCTGACGACGTTTCGACTTTGTCTTTGTTGTAGGCACACAGAGTGGAAATAGATACAACACCCAACATCCTTAACCTTTCACTACAGGTGGCGTATGGAAATGCGGAACATCTTCCATCTCGCTACACCTATCCATATCCCGCCAACAATTCTCTCCTCTCTGTCCCCCCTAATCAACGGGCTCCAGCCCATTTGTCAAGATTTTGCATTTGGTTGTAGGCAAAAGAGTGGAAATAGATTACAAACCACTATCCTTCCACTTTGATACAGTTGGAGTATGGAATGGTAAACATCCTTCTATCTTGCGCACCTATCCCTATCTCGCCCAAATTTCGCTGCCCTCCTAAGACAACACAAATATAGCCGGGTGGTGGGAGCGTGAAAGATTCGCAATTGTTGTTTGTATAGCGGGGGGTCACAAGAGTGGGGGAAAAAATAGTTTTACGCCACCAACCAACTATCTTCTACGGTGCAGACGTGTGGGGAATCGTGTTGGAGTATGGAATCGGTACAATCCATTTCCCTTCGCTCACACCTATCCCTGTCTCGACCCCAACTCATTTCGCTTGCCAAGACACCCCTCCTATAATAAGGGTGGACGATTTCGCATTTGTTGTAGGCCACCCCGATGCTTCGAGGGAAACTAGATACAAACCAACTATCCTTAAGACCTTTGACTACAGTTTGGAGTATGATGGTAACATCTTCCATCTCGACTGACACCCCTACACTATCTCGCCCACATTTCGCTGTCCCTCACTAAAGAAGGGCTCCGGTGAACGATTTCGCATTGGTGTAGGCACAAGGATGTGCGAAATAAACCGAAGAGCCAAACAAACTATCGCTTTATACTTTGACTAGTGTTGGAAGCATGGATGGTAACATCTCCATCTCGCTGTACCCCTACTCCCTTATCTCGCCCCAATATTCGCGCTGCTCCCCATAACATACAGTATAGGTGTGAGAAACGACCGACTTTGGCATACGGTTGCTAGGCACAAGAGTGGAAATAGATACAAACCAACTATCCTTAAATACTGTGGCACTTCACAGTTGAGAGCTATGGATGGTTTCACATCTTACATCTCGCTACACCCATATACCCTATCTCGCCCAAATTTCTCGTCCCCCTAAACATAAGGGTTCAATGTCAACGATTATGCCATTTGTGGCTAGGCACATAGAGATGAAATAGACTACAAACCAACTATCTTCATACTTGGACTACAGCACGGCTGGATGTATGGCATCGGTAACATCTTCTATCGTTGCTGCACCTTATGCCCCTATATCCCCAGTTATGTATTCGCTGGCTGTCCCTCCTAAAAAGGGTGCATGAACGATTCGCCAATTGTTGTAGGCAAAGAGAAAACCTGGAAAAAGACGACAACCCACCAACCCCTCCCCTATTCTTTCTACTTTGACTAGTGTTGGAGTAATGAATGGTAACATCCTTCCATCTCGCATGCACCTATTCCCTACTAGCCCAACATTTCCGCGCTTTCCGTCTCCTAACATACAGTGGGTGTGCACCACGATTCGCATTTAGTTGTAGGCACAAGAGTGTAATAGATACAAACCAACTCTCCTCTACAATTACTTTGACTACAGTTGGATGTCACTGCGCAATGGTAATCTCCATCTAGCTGCACCTATCCCTAATCCCCACTCTCG